CTGTATCCTACAGTGTGTGTTGACCTGCTACATGCTGATCCATGTGGGTAGGTTGGGTTATGAGAATTTGGTGTGTGTGTGTGTTTTTACTCAGATATGATCTTCATTTTGGGACAATTGAGCAATTTTTGTAAACAAAAAAAGTAATAATTTTTGTTATTATTTTGACAAAATTCAGTTATTTGCATAAGAAATGAAGGTCAGATTTGAGTAAAACACCAAAAATTCACAAAAAAAACTATTCTCATAATTTCAACAAATCACTAATGAAGCCTAACTTACCTATCCTCCCGTGGATCCAATGGGATTATAGCTTATGGTTAATTATCTGGTGAGATTTTCTTAAGGTGTGATTAACCAGTTAGTGTTTTTAAGTAAGTGTGTCGTTCATCATCTATTCGTGGCTTTTAAGTCTTGAAACAGTGTGGTAGTGTTGAGGTAGTGCAGGATCTTGCATACACCCGGGACACACAGTAACATGAACCAGGTGTGTGGCTCCTGGGAGTATATATTGTGATAACAGTGGACTTGTTCTTGACAGATGACTACCTATTTTGAGCAAGTATACACCACCTGTGTATTTTTTTACTAGTATGATTGGTACGAGTAATGTGCTATGAGTCGAGCACAGTATGATTAGTGGTGAGTCAAGAGCTGTATGAGTGAGTAGTGAGTCGAGCATGTATGATGAATAGTGAGTCGAGCACTGTGCGAGGATTGGGAGTCAAAGTACAGTATGATGAATAGTGAGTCAAGTTAATTAAATGAGTGATAGTGAGTCGAGTACTGTATGAGTGATAGGAGTCTTAGTACAGTATGATTAGTAGTGAGTCGAGTTAATCGTGTATGATTGTTGCCATATCATCCCATCAATCATCCACTTCCTGTGTGTGAAATGGTGTACTTCCAGGTATCACATATCATGGAGGTCATGGGTCATGCACGGCTGATGCTGTTGTGCTTATATTATGTTTTGGTGTTTTGATGCCTTCTCTCTTTGTTTATCTTTCTCATACACACACATAAAAAAAAAATAAAAAAAAAACCTAAACTAACCTAACTTAGGAGAAATATTCAACATACTTTACATTTGAGACTATAGACCAGAGAGCTAAAACGTGAAGACATCTTGGTGCACAAGTGACGGCTTCTGCCCAGCCAACACCAGTAATGGTTGTCATGCTCGACCTTATGCCTCCCTCCAACCTGTTGAGAGAAGAGATGGTGACTTTCAACTCTTAATGATCTCATTATGTATCTAAGTTAGGGTAGTTTAGGTTTTTTTTTATTTTTTTGTATGTGTGTGTGTGAGAAAGATAAACAAAGAGAGAGAGAGAGCATCAAAACACCCAAAACATGATATAAGCACAACATACAGCATCAACCGTGCATGACCCATGACACTCCGCATGATATGTGATACCTGGAAGTACACACAGGAAGTGGATGATTGATGGGATGATATGGCAACAATCATACACACAGTGCTCGACTCACTACTAATCATACTGTGCTAGACTCACTATCACTCATACAGTGCTCGACTCACTATCACTCATTCAGTGCTCGACTCACTATTCATCATACTGTGCCTGACTCACAATCACTCATACAGTGCTCGACTCACTATTCATCATACTGTGCTCGACTCACTATCACTCATACAGCTCTTGACTCACCACTAATCATACTGTGCTCGACTCATACAGCACATTACTCATTTCCAATCATACCTGGTAAAAAAAATACACAGGTGGTGTATACTTGCTCAAAATAGGTAGTCATCTGTCAAGAACAAGTCCACTGTTATCACAATATATAATTCTCCCAGGAGCCACACACCTGGTTCATGTTGCTGTGTGTCCCCGGGTGTATGCAAGATCCTGCACTACCTCAACACTACCACACTGTTTCAAGACTTTAAAAGCCACGAATAGATGATGAACGACACACTTGCTTAAAAACACTAACTGGTTAATCACACCTTAAGAAAAATCCTCACCAGATAATTAACCATAAGCTATAATCCCATTGGATCCACGTGGAGGATAGGTAAGTTAGGCTTCATTAGTGATTTGGAAGTTGAAATTATGAGAATAGTTTATTTTTGTGAATTTTGGTGTTTTACTCAAATCTGACCTTCATTTCTTATGCAAATAACTGAATTTTGTCAAAAATAATAACAAAAAATTATTACTTTTTTTTTTTACAAAAATTGCTCAATTGTCCCAAAAATGAAGATCATATCTGAGTAACACACACACACACACCAAATTCTCATAACCTAACCTAACCTCCACATGGATCAGCATGTCGTGGTCAACACACACTGTAGGATACAGACGTTGCCTGACAGTGAGTGACTGGGTGTGGGAAAAACTTCAACCGACTTGGTTTATTTATGACAACATTTTTACTCACACTGTATCTCTGTTAATACTAATTTGTCCAAAGAATAAAATATATTCGTAATTTTTGTTTTAATAATCCTTGGATAATCAAATACAAAAACCTTGCCACAGCCATTAAACCAATATTAACCTAAGATATAATAAATGAAAGTGTTGATAAACTGTAGGTTAGGTTAGGCATTACAGTTTTATGATTTAATAAATGAAATATTTTACATGTCAGATAAGTGTTGATAAACTGTAGGTTAGGTTAGGCATTACAGTTTTATGATTTAATAAATGTAATATCTTACATGTCAGATCAGTGTTGATAAACTGTAAGTAATAAGGAATGAAAAAATTCTTATTATTATTTGTCCTCAGAGCTTTAAGCCTACTGTACTGTACACTCACATTAGGTTAACTGAGACAACCTGTTTGAAGAATGTTCACATTTCTTTTGTATCTTCTTAATTCATGAATGTTAGTCAATATTCAGGTACCCATCTTTAATAATCTTGAAAAAAGCGCAGTACATCAGTACAGTATGTGGGTTTAAAACTAAGCTTTAAGTACAGTACAGTACAGTACAGTACATCAGTACAGTACGTGGGTTTAAAACTAAACTTTAAGAACAGTACAGTACATCAGTACAATACAGTACAGTACATTATGTGGGTTTAAAACTAATCTTTAAGCACAGTACATCAGTAAATGTACAGTACATCAGTACAGTACATCAGTACAGTACATGGGTTTAAAACTAATCTTTAAGTACAGTGCATCAGTACAGTACAGTACATCAGTACAGTACAGTACGTGGGTTTCTTTCAAATGTATCAAACTAAAACACGAGAAAAGATTGGACCAATAGTCAGATACAGGCGAGCTAACTGATAACAACGGAGAAATGAGCAATAATCTGAATAAATATTTTTCAACAGTTTTCACCACAGAAAATTTAAACATGATACCCGAGGCACCGACTCTATACAGAGATGGTGAAGAAAACAAATTAAGCAAAATCACAGTGACTAGTAACGATGTTAGTAAGAAAATAGACAAACTAAAGCCTAATCACCAGGTCCCAATGAGATATTTGCCAGAGTATTAAAGGAATGCAAGGAAGAGCTTAGTATGCCCTTAGCAAAGTTGTTTAACATGTCCATTAAAATGGGTGTAGCACCAGAATCCTGGAGGATAGCAATTGTAATACCCATTTTCAATTAGGGAGATAGATCATTATCCTCTAACTACTGTCCAATCAGTTTAATATCAATTGTAGGCAAATAACTGGAAGCAATCATTTCAAACTCTATTCAAAATCACCTGGAGAAGCACAAGTTGATCAATGATTCCCAACGTGGCTTCACAAATGGGCGTTCATGTCTAACTAATCTATTAACATTTTCATCTGTTTTCGAATCAGTGGACGAGGGGCACAATTATGAAGTGGTATACGAGTATCTCAACTTAGCAAAGCCTTCGACAGAGTCCTCCATGAAAGACTGATAAGAAAAGTGGAGGCTCATGGCATTAAAGGAGATATTATAAAATGGATTAGGGCGTGGTTACAGGACAGGAAACAGCGAGTGAGCATTAACGGCACTAAATTAGATTGGAACAACGTCACTAGTGGAGTTCCCCAAGGCTCAGTACTTGGACCATTATTATTTATTACAGCTACTCCTCGACCTACGACCACCTCAACCAAAATTTTGTCAAATTACGTATTTTCGAGTCCCAACATTAGTGATTACGCTGTGCACTGACAAAATTTTCGTTTGTAATTCACTTTACTCATTTTAGATTTTCTATGTACAGAATATTATTTAAGCATTTTCAACTTACGACCAATTTGACTTACGACCTGGATTTGTGTCCCTAACCCTGTCATAAGCCGAGGAGCAGCTGTTTATACATAAATGACATAGACGTCAGCGTAGACAGCAACATAAGTAAATTTGCTGACGACACTAAAATAGGACGTGTGATTAAATTTGACGAGGACTCCTCAAAACTACAGGAAGATCTAAAAAAAAATTTGAATGGTCTGAAAAATGGCAGATGAAATTCAATGTGGACAAATGTAAAGTACTCAGTATAGGAGATGTAAACAGGGAAACCAGATACCAGATGAACAACGATGTTATTGAGAAATCCGACTGCGAGAAAGATTTAGGAGTAATGATAAGTAGGAATCTTAAGCCAAGTAAACGTGTATTTGCTCGAAACAAGGCTAATAAAGTACTTGGGTTCATACAAAGGAGTGTTAGTTACAAGACTAGCGAGGTCATCCTAAAATTATATCTTGCACTTGTGAGACCTCACTTGGATTACGCAGTTCAATTCTGGTCACCCTATTACAGAATGGATACAGAACCCTTGGAAAAAATTCAGAGGAGAATGACAAGGCTAATCCCAGGCATTAGAAACCTTGAGTACAGAGACAGGTTAAAGCTTCTTAATTTGCACTCCCTCGAGAGACGTAGAGTGAGGGGCAATATAAGAGGTGTATAAATGGAAGTTGGGGCTGAACAAAGGGACATTACAAAGGCACACAAACTATCCAACCAGGAGTGAACTCGTAACAATGGTTTTAATTTATACAAATTCAGAATTAGGCTCGAAATAGATAAACATTGGTTTGGAAATAGAGTTGTGGACGAGTGGAACAAGTTACCAAATATCATCGTTAACTCGAATACGCTGGATAGCTTCAAACATAGTTTGGATGGATAAATGAGCAATAGGGGTTGGGTGTATATGGGACTGCCCAATAGGTCCACTGCAGTTTCCTCCATTCTTGTGTTCTTAAGTACTGTATAATAATTATACCAATAGGTGTTGTTAAAGAATGTGGTTTTCCCAGATTAATCCACTGAATAAATATAACTAAGCAGTGATAAATACTGAAAGAATTAAGAGGAAAATATAAGAACAAATAATGATATTGAAAGATATATACAAGATATAGAAAAGAAAGATAAAGAATATTGAAATACATAAATAAATAAAAACATTGAAAGAATACTTAAAAATAACTTAAACAAATAATATAACTAAGAAAATGAAAGGTTGTATAGGACATAGAAATAACCTACAAAATATAACCAAAGAAATAAAGAAAGTGATATATAAGTTGTAGTATAAAAAAACATACAAAATAATAAAATTTTAAAGAAAAAATATATCCTCGAACACAGATGTAATAATTAATGAGAGAGAAAAGATAAATAATAACTAAATCTATTTATTCACCTCCTTACACTGGGGTATCATGCACCTGCAGTATTCACCTTGTTTCTATCCTATACCTTGATACCATTAAATGTAAACAAACTCGTGTGCCCGAACCCTTGCCACGTTGCTACCACCCATTTGTCTTGTTACTCTCACCTTAGTTAAGTGATTAGTGTTATATTATACAGTATACCTGTATTCTGATAGAAAAACCTGGGTGGTGGCAGCTACTGTGAGTATTGAAGATTGTAATATAACAAGGGGTTTCCCAGGTAAGCCCTAGGTCAGAATGTAACTACATAAAAGTAACGTAACAGAAAAATATA